TTTTAAAAAAAAAAAAAAAAAAAAAAAAAAAAAAAAAAAAAAAAAAAAAAAAAAAAAAAGAAAGTGAAGTCAGATTAGGGTACAATTACAGAAATCTTTATTTGAAAAATCTACAAAAAAATTTTATGAAATGATTTTTAGTTTATTCTTTGAATAATGCAGCATAGTAGCTAATGCAAGGAGGTTATGTTTTCCATTCATGGGTGCAGTTTGTGAGAACACTATGAAATATGTAAAAGCTCTATTCCAAATTTAAGATCATGCTACTGCTAGACAAGTGATGTCACTGACACTGCCCAGGCCCTCTGGGCTGATTTGTATGTGGTGCTCAGGGGTTGCACTAATCCAATGAACCGAAAGCACATGTTCGTTATATCCTGTCCAAGACCCAAGCATACCTATGGCCCTGGTCAGACTTTTTTCTCTTCAAAAAGCTGAATTTTTATTGAGTGAAAATTTATGCTCTGACCATGGCCTTGGGAATGTTTTTTACTGACAACTTAACAGTTGCCTGGACTCAGCAATAATGGGTCGCTAGGACAGGAGTCGTTGTTTTACTGCGAGCAGCACGATAAAATGAAAGCCTAGAGGTCACTCAGTTTCAATGCCTCCGAACGGAAGGAAGCTGAAATCCTCACCATTGCTCAAGAACAGCCAGTTGCTCCCTGTTCTCCTTTGTTCTTATGTAGACTCCTTTACACATTGTCTATTCTTGTTGCATCATACCCTCAGACCCTTTCAACCAGATTTCTATCCACGTCTTTGTATAGATCTTTCCCAGTCTAAATTTTGAAATAATATCCCTGTGGGCAATCTTCCTTAGCCCTCTTCCCAGCCCCTTCTTTTATCTTTTTAAAGTGTCAAGTGCATTCTTGATTTCTTTTTCTGCCAGTTCATTGTTAGAATATAGAAATGCTACTGATTTTTGTGTGTTGGTTTTGTATCCTGCAACTTTGCTGAAATCATTTATTAACTCAACAGTTTTTTTGTAGAGTCTTTAGGCTGTTCTATATATAGGATCATGTCATCTGCAAACAGAGACAGTTAAACCTCATCTTTTCCAATCTGGATGCCCTTTAATTCCTTCTATTCCCTGATGGCTCTGGCTAGTACTTCTAATACTATGTTGAATAGGAGTGACAAGAGTGGGCATCCTTGTCTTAAGGGAAAAGCTTTCAGTTTTTCTCCATTCAGGATGATATCGTCAGTGGGTTTGTCATATATGGCTTTGATTGTGTTGAGATACTTTCCTTCTATACCCAATTTATAGAGTCTTTATCATGAATGAATGTTGGATTTTGTCAAATGCTTTTTCAGTGTCTGTAGAGATTATCATATGGTTTCTGTGTTTGATTTTATTGATGTGGTGTATCACATTTGTTGATTTGTGTATGTTGAACCAACTTTGCATCTCTGGGATGAATCCCACTTGATCATTGTATATAAGTTTATGTTTGTGTTGCTGTATTCTATTAGCTAGTATTTTATTGAGGATTTTTGCATCTATATTCATCAAAGATATTAGCCTATAGTTTTCTTTCTTTGTTGTATCTTTGTCTGGCTTTGGTGTCAGGGTGATATATGCCTCATAGAATGAGTTTGGGAGAGTGGTCTCTGTTTCAGTTTTTTGGAATAGTTTGTAGAGAATTGGTATTAATTCTTCTTTAAAGGTTTGGTAGAATTCTGCAGTGAAGTCACCAAAAAAATAAAATACGTAGTAATAAATTTAACCAAGGATGTGAAAAATATGATGAGTACTACAAACCACTGTTGAGAGAAATAAAAGAGGACCCAAGAAGATGGAAAGATATCCCATGCTCTTGGGTTGGAGAAATTAACATTGTGAAAATGTCCATAGTACCCAAAGTGATCTACAGATTCAACGCAATCCCCACCAAAATTCCAATGACATTTTTCTTAGAATTGGGAAAAACAATCCTATCATTCATTTGGAAGAACAAAAGACCATGAATAGCGAAAGCAATTCTGAGCAAAAAAAAAAAAAAAAAATGCTGGAGGCATAACACTACCTGACTTTAAGCTATACTACAAAGCTATAGTAACCAAAACAGCATCGGTCTGGCATAAAAACAGACACATGGACCAATGGAACAGAATAGAGAATCCAAAAATCAGCGCATGAACCTACAGCCATCTGACTTTTGACAAAGGCACCAAGACTACACACTAGGGAAGAGACTACCTCTTCAGTAAATGGTGCTGGAGAAATTGGACATTCATATTTAGGAGAATGAAACTAGACCTGTACATCTCACCATATACCAAAATCAACTCAAAATGGATTAAAGAATTAAATATACATCCTGAAGCAGTAAAACTCCTTAAAGAAAACATAGGGCAAACAATCCAGGAAGTAGGATGGGGTACAGACTTTATGAATATGACTGCAAAAGCACAGGCAACCAAAGGAAAAATAAACAAATGGGATTGCATCAAAGTAAAAAGCTTCTGCACAGCAAAAGAAACAATTAACAGAGTGAAAAGAGAGCCAACAGAGTAGCAGAAAATATTTGCACAATATACATCTGACAGAGGATTAATAACCAGAATATACAAGGAACTCAAAACAACACCACAGAAACAAGTAGCCCAATTAAAAATGGGCAAAGGAGCTAAATAGGCATTTCTCAAAGGAAGATATGTGAATGGCCAGGTGAATAGACAGGTGAAGAAAATGCTCAACATCACTCAGCATTTGGGAAATGCAAATCAAAACCACTTTGTGATAACAT